AGTCATGTCAAAAATGTAGAAAAGACAAAAGCTTCCGTCTCTTGCTAGCTTTGGAAGCTGAGTCTCTAATTGATGTTTGTTACAGCTTTTTGCTGGGTACCTGGGGGGTAGACACAAAAGGAAAATGAGGAAAAGGGAAAGAAAAAGCTGTAGGAGTCTCCCAGTACACTTCCAAATCTTGGCAAAAGCATATATGAGGCAGAGAGCCCCATTGTATCCATTTCGCCCTCAGGCCAGCAGTCACTGCTTTGGCTTTATCTGCAGCTGGAGATGCCCTTAATGATGACTTTTTTGTCCTTCTAATTTTTAGCATAAGTTTTAAAATACGCTACAGTGTGTTTTACTGCAAAGTTAGTCTGTCATTTTAAAGAGAAACAACATGAAATATTTCATTCTAGTAACAAGAAAACAAGAATCATCATTTCTCTAAAGTGCTCTCAGGGCTCTGACAGAGGAGAGACGGATTTATATCTCCAGGAGAAAGCCAGTGTCTGTGTAGGAATCGCGGGCCGGGCTGCGGCTTCAGTTGTGCAGGGGAGCGCAACGTTTCCCAGCGACTCCCACCTCAGTGAATTGAAACTTTTGAGGTGCAAATTAACTCGAGGCTTGCACAGCATAACTAGAAACGTTACCCAGTTCTTTAGGCAAATCCTCAAAAAGGAGCCAAATCCAAAACAAGCAAACGCTCACCCCCAAAACCCAAATGGGCATCTGTCCAACCTCCTCGCCCCCACCTTCAGTTAATAAAGGCTAATTCAGGTGTATACAAAAGAAAGTTTTTATATAGAAGAAAGCTCTACATTGGGAAGATATGTAAATGAAAGGATGAATAACTGTTGACCTGGGAGGCTATAGTCCTCAAATGTCGCAACACTGGGCAACTGGACATTTGGCCGCCCTTATAATAGAGCCAACCTCTTGCCCATTCCATCCCGAACACTCAGTACCAAAAAGCTCCCACCATCTCAAAACTGCTCTGAAAGAAGAGACAGTGGAGAGACAACACAAGAAATAACATTTGAATACAAAAACTGGAGTCATCCTTGCATGATCTGATTTTTCCTGACTGTTTTTGCAGTTACTCAGCTCTGCAGTAATATGACCTAAATTCCACTGTAATGCCTCCCCGAGAGCCTGCCCCTCTCTGCTTTTATATAGGGCTGAGTCCTCCCAGTGGGCTCCCACTAATTTTAAGAGAAACTCAAAGCGGGGAGAGCAGGCACCTGAGCATGAGAAGCTTTTGGTGTATCAAGAGCATTGTAATTTTATTTTACTGTGAAGGTTCTGTTGAGTTGTAGAAAGACCAAACAAAAGTTGACATTAAAGCACGTCTTTGACACACGATCCAGTCTTCATTCTGTTTCAAAAGACTGCCCCGTAAATTCATGGGTTTAAAAGTAAAATATTGCTGAGTTGCTTGTAACCTAATTCTCACTCACATCAAATTTCTATTGACTTTCGTGGGAAGTTAGGCTAATGACAAGCGTGGAACTGAGGCACTTACATTTCAGTGAATTGCTTAAATGAAATAAAACCATGGTTTAGCAAACTTATTCCTACAACCGAGTGAAACTGTGTGGAAAGTACCAGGGAGTGGGGCATTTGCCTGTTCTAGCTGTAGGGGACAGTATTTTATTATCATGATTTGATCTGAATCTCAGTTGAGTGAAGCAGGGTTCAGCTGAAAGCAGCTGCATGTTTTGTGCAACAGCTTATCGTATCCTAACAGTGGATCGTTGCTTATTCAGTGGTTGTGAAACTGTTTGGTAATGACTTTTACTGCTCAAGTTAACTTTAAAAGACCCTGGGAATAAATCAAAGTTCATTGCTATTCATTTCTTTAGTCCTTGTAATACTTAAACGGTCTCAGTATCAAATGGGACATGTCACTGTTTGCTTTGATAATCTTCATTTATGCTGTCTTCAAATAATGTCTTTTGCTGAGACATCACATTCCTTGTTTTAAAAACCCTCTCTAGAAACTGATAAAATTGCATTCCAAGTGGCTCTGAGCAAGTAATGAGAACCGCCTGGACTGTAATAATTGTTTGCCTATTCAAGACCCAAATTACATTTGAGATCATTTGTTGCTCTAGTTTTGGAGTGGACTGTGCGAATTCTTGTTTTTAGTTTTAACCGCCAGCTTTAGAGGTGTGCAAATAAATATAATCTCTGTTCAGTAGGAAAGACTGGCAAAATGAAGAAAAACTGAGCTCAGTTTGTAGTCTGTCTGGGTAGTTCAAAACTTAAAGGAGTTTCTGTCTTGACCACACAGCTCTAATTTCAAGGCATCACCCCAGCGTGCTGTTGATAAATTATATAGAGTTATTTCATTATTTCCTTAATCTTTGGTCCTGGGTTGTTTTCCAGTTGTGCTCTTTTTAAGGCATCAGGTTCAATTACATTGAATTCTCTAAATATTTCATCAATTACTATGAGCACAAAGATAAATCGATCTGTATGTGACTAGTAGCTAGGTAAGACATCTCGGTATGTGGGCATTGTGTAGCAGTATATATTTTGTTCATTATTACAGGTTATTTTGCTGCATAGGTTTACTCTGTTGTTTCTTTTACTAGGACAGGTTGTACAGCTTCTTTCAGCAAACAGGCGTCTTAGAGTGTAACTGCACACAAACTGACTGTTATGTAGTCCAAGATTTTTATATTAAAAAGTTTAAAATTCAGGAAAAATTGAAGCGAGAACCTTCGTTAAAAGATAGAATTCTTCTGAGTTTATTCCAAATGCAGAAGGAATAGTTTCTTTTTTTCAGAATGACTGTGTTATCTTTTTTTATTTTGTTTTCTGTTTGAGAAATGATTTACTAAAAATATTAGCACAGACAGATGAAAAAAGAAACTCTTAAATCTACCCCAAGTCGTGTCTTAAGGGATTCATTAATATACAGCTAATATTGTAGGCAGTTTTACCTTTCACTTCTTTTTAGTCCACAGATTGGCTTAGATGATACTAAAAGAGTTATTTAAACTGAATATATTCATATAAGCTTTTAGAGCAGGCAGCTGTACATAGTAATTCCATTTACTGACTGATAAATAGTGGATCATGCATTTATATTACATGTTTATGCCTTTAGGGAAAGCTTTCATATGAGTACAGTGGAATTTTTTTCCCTCAAGGAAAATGATCGATGTGCAATGGTGTCTTACTTGTGGTTAAGCCAGACCAGTCTGATCAGCAGCCTGTAATCAGACCACGCAGTGAATTTCTCAGATGTAATTGTCCCAAAAGTCAGCGTTTCAACAAGGATTAATGTTACTATTTCAATTTTGACACTTGCAACATTAAGAATATTCATAGATGTTAACAAGAGGCCATTGAAGATTTCGACTTGCATTGTCCTTTCGTTTTAAAAAAGGGGGTTTTCAAAAGTACTTGGTTTTCCTTACAAGGCTTGTGAAACCTTGGACTTTCTGATATTAAAGAAACAGTCTGAAGAACATTGAATAGAACGAGTGAAGTCTCTTGCTGCATTTGTAATTTACCTCCTGACATGAAGGATCGTCTCACTTTTCACTTGTCACACTCATCCTCACCCGTAAATGATTACCCGTTCCAACACTCCACATCTGGGTGACTTTTCTGCCACTGCCATGTCTTGGGAGTCTGGGGGATTTATTGGGCAGGGGAATCCTAAGCCCTAAATAAAGAGATGGCCCAGATGTTCAAAGCTGCCCAATGGTCTCAAATGTCTAATGTGCTGGGGAAACTAGCCAGGACAGATAGCCTGTCCTGAAGTTCCTAGTCTGCAGTTGGTATATGTGGATGGATTTAAAATTGCGTCCATTTAACAACAGTGTAACTGGAGCTGGTAAGTTCGTAAAACATTTCCAAGGACAGGCAATAGGACCTCTAGGGGTCCCTTCCAACCCAAAACATTCTATGACCTTAGAGGGGCAGTGTGTATTTTGAATTGTTTTTATATGTTGACTTCACTAGTTCTTTTGATTTTTTCAAGGATCACTCAGAAAACCCTCTAGGTGCAGCAGTCACCCTGGCTCATGAGCTGGGCCACAATTTTGGAATGAATCACGACACGTTGGAGAGGGGCTGTAACTGCAAAGCGTCTACCGATAAAGGGGGTTGCATCATGAACCCCTCTACTGGGTAAGTGCGAGGGTAAGCACTGGTGAATTACAGTTATAGTGGAAAATTTTTAGTTTTGTTTTGTGTCTCAGGAACATTTAAGAGGAAAAAAGAAAACCTTTTCAACACCTGTCAAATCCTCTTGCAGTTATCCACCTCAAGCTGAAACAATTAAACTTGTTATCAGAGCACGACGCGTACCGTTGTACCTTTCTATATCCCTGTTACCAGAGTGAGAGACAGAAATGCCATAAGCAACTGGTTAATTTAAAAAAAAAAGCAACCAACAAACTGCATTGCAAGTGTTGAATCAGAATTTCACCTTCTCATCTTGCCAACTGAGTATCATAGTCATAATAGGAAATGAGCAGCGTCCCAAGGCCAAGACTAAGATGAATGTGTAGGAAATAAAGTAATGCAGGAAATATATTATTAGACTCTCTGTTAAGCCTTTGTCTTGTGCAGAAAAGGTTTTTACGTTTGCACAAATTTTTGCATTTCACCCCTTGTTATGAGTTTGTAGCACTATTAACACGTGAGCAAATTAAATCTGTAAAGTCAGTGGGGTTAGGGCTGTTCATGGACTGGAGGGAGATCTTCCAAGAAAAGGTATAAGACGCAATGGGAAATAAAGCCAGGGAACCCATGGTCACCTCTCCGAGTCAGTGCCGAACGTTTACTCTGCTGGTGATAAAGGCACTATGTCAACGGAGAAGCGTAGTGGTTTTGTAGACACAAAAAGTACAGGTACCACGACCAGGTAACTAGTTACAGCTTGCTGCTGTTTTAAAGTACTGTTAGAAACTGAACGATAAAATGAATGAGTTCTCCATGTCCATATCCAGACAAGAGCTGATAGGATTAAATTGATGTGAGAGAGAGTAGATTTACCAAAGCTTTCTGATGGTAAGTGATGTGCTGGGCTGGACTGCTTGCAGAAACGTTACCGCCTGTGACTGGAAGCTGGCAAGACCCAGCTGGACAAATATCTGTCAGCAGTGTCTTGTAGGTACAGCTGGGATTGGCCTTGGGGCAAGAGGATGGTCTGGTTGATCTTCCGATGTCTCTTCCAGCGCCAGCATTCTCTGTGTGTGCCTAAACTTCATCTGTTGCTTAAAAAATCTCTTCTGGGAATTGTGATCAGCTCGGCCTCTGCCTTCTCCGTGACTGCATGTTTCTGGGAAAGCAGGAGAGCAATCTGGGAGAGGCCAGGGAGCATTGGGCAGGATTGCTCCCTGCTGGTCAGCCTAGCAGCAGCCTTGGCCTTTCTTCAAAGGCATGCTGTCACCCTCCTTCAGGGCAGAACAGGGGATTCTGGCCAGAGGCCAAGCACAGCAAGTTAAGAGACAAACAAAAGAGAGTTGTGTGTGTGGAGGAGAAGGAGAGTGATTTCTGCAGTTTGGAAAAGAAAAATAGCTTGGCTCTCCTAAAACAATAGGTAGTAAATATCCGTATGGAAGTGCACTCTGCAGCACTTCGGGGCTCGTATGCACACTGTGACAACAAACTGGAACTGGAAACAGGATGCTGAGGGGAGGTGATGCGATAGCTGGGAAGCCGTGGGCAGGCAGGGCTGAGCTCTGGGCTCTCAGCTCCTGAAGGGTGCACGCAAGCTGAGTTACTGGTTGGGCATCCAGGTACTCCACTTTTGGAAATAAATGCAGGAGATGCTCTCAGGACAGAAATTTCTAGACACTTTCAGAACTCATCTTGCGAAGGTATCTCCAATGTGAGATTAGATAGCTCTTCCCTGGTTCTGCCTTCTGCACCAGACGCTTTTGAAGCTCTCCTCTGTGCTGGATGTGCCAGTCAGAGACTTGGCTCTGGGTTGGCTCGGGGCATGGACAGACCAAGGTTGTACCTGCTCGGGGTCTTCCTCAGATATGAGTCCAAGCAGCTCAGCTCACTTTGTGTTGGGGTTTCTGTAGCACCTTACAGGTTAAAGGCTGTGCTTTCTTCAGCAACGCTGTGCCCATGGGTTTGACGGTCTGGGGAGGGGGCCAAGAGGGGCACTTCAGCTTTGTAACGCTCTCTTCAGATTTTTACCAAACTTTATACACAACTTGTGCCTGAGGAAGAGCTGTGGCATTCACAGAACTGAGCAGGCTGGTTTGTTTGCAGTGATTATTGATTTATAAATGGAAATTTTAACGTCAGGTTTATAGCCTCAGGCTTTACCTTCATACTGTGCTGTCGATCTGTAATAAGTATTCTGGGAGAATACTTTACGCCTTAAGCCAAGCTGCATTTTACCAATCTAAAATTAACACTTTGAATATTTACCCAACATCTGACCAACAGAAGGATTCCTCTGAGCACCATTATTTAAGGAACACTGAAGAGTTTTCAGCTCTGGAAGTAGGTGTCTGTTAAGGGAATGCCAAATTAATATTCCCTAACTGAAAAACATTCTTAGAATAGGAAAAACATCAAAACAAAGAGCATCCCAGGGAAGCCAAATAAATTTAGAGAGACAGCCAGCACTCTCGGTATACTCATTGGCACTCTGTGCTCTTCTAATTTCTGTTGGTTTAAGGTAGATTTAACAAGTGCAAGGAAAAAAAAAAAACCTCTTTGGGCTGAAGCTGGTGTAAAAAGCACAAGCCCCTGAGAAGTCCTTATCTGATATCTAAAAAGGGTAAGAAATATCTAGGTTATAACATAAAAGGCTCTGTAAACTTAACTTTGGAGTCATTTGTGTGGGGTTTTGCAGCAAAAGGGCATGTTTGAAGGTTTTTTACTTAAAAGTGATTTCATTAATTATTGCCATCTTCCTTCAGTTCTTATGTTTCAGTCTTTGAAGAGGTCCTGGAAATTAGTTCTTGGTGGAAAAAGTCTCCAGGGATCAGTGTGGAATTTAAACTCTGTTGGATCTGTCCTTTAATGAGCTTCCTATAGCTTTTACTCTTAAAAGATACCAGCAAGCTGTGTACCAGTTGTGTGTGAGCTACAAATGCCTTAAAGACACGCTACTTTAGCAAAATATATTTTGTACGTCGTGGAATTAAGTATATAAACCCCAAAATTTGTGGCACTCCAGACCTTTTAGAGATTCAAATATCTGCTATGGAAATTACATAAATCCCACTGTAGAAGAGGAGAGTTTTGCTATAAAAATCAGATCAACAAGGAAATATTTAATACTAACACATTGTTCCCTTTTTTATGCATTCGTTTTAATGATATTCCTTCAGTTCCTTTAGTTCTTTTGGCCATAGACTCTTCCAAGCGAAAAAGAAGGATATATAAGGAGTCTTAAAGAGATTTGCAAATCTTTTTACGGAGATCACAGTATCTGAAAACTAAGGGACTAGGCTGACTCAGTGAGGCTATTGCAGTATTCCACTTGTTTTCCAAGTAGCTCTCTGAAGTTTCCACTCTTAGGAGTGAAAATGTTCTTCCTGACAGCTAGATAAATACAGAAGAGTTCTGGTGAAACCCAAGGCATTAGTCTAGATTTATACCCCTGCAACTAAAAGCAGAATTTAGCACAAACTGTGGAGCAAAATTGTGCCAATTAGCAGTGCTTGCTTATTTAAGATTTTTGGAAATGTGCTTTTTATGTGCTCCTTCATCAAAATAGACCACAGGTATCTCCATGGGGTTGAACCCGGGTAAGTTCCCCTGAAGCAGGAAGAGCTTAAAGGTTGATATATGCTTGAAATTTCTTACCAGCCTTAAACATTTTTAGTTATTCTTCTTCCCTCCTGTAAACCCAAGGTTTATACTTCCTCTCACCCACGTCTGTGTCCTTGCCACAACAGTGTGCTCTTCTGGTTTATACCTCGGTGACTTACACAACTAGCTTGTCATCAGGGAAGCTGAGCATACTGTAAACATGTTCTTCCTTCCCTCTAACAGAAAGTACTCCTTCATGCCTTTCCATTCCACTTTAGGTGGTAATGACAGACCAGGAATCCCAGAAAGGACAGCTAGTTTTACCAAGCTCATTCAGATGCTGATCCTACTGTAGTCTCCATCCCTTTGCGGAGTCCCATGACTTGCTATAATGAAAGCTTCTTTCCTTGTCATCTCGCAGTGCGTTGCTCTTTCCAGGATCAGTTCTTGTTGCTGAATCATCCCAGCCATGGCTAATTGAAATGCCAGGCAGGCTGCTAGGATAGAGCTGTTTGCTTCACCTCTCTTTGCACTTCCATAGAGAGAAGCAGGTTTTCACCATGCTGAAAGAAAAGAGGATGACGAGGAAAGGGCTGTTTTGTAGTCTCTCCTCCAGTCCCATTTGCACCTGGCTGTGGGAATGACAGAAATTTTCTCCAGGTCTGCCCTACTGCCCACACCCCATTTCCTTTGCTATCCATGAACTGTGAGATGAAATATTGACCTGGAAGGGTGCTTGCTTTAACCATCGGCTGAAAGCTGAATTTGCAGCTGTAAATCATGGGGGGCTTTTACACACCCATTCAGCAGACCCCACTTACCCCATTGCACTGAAACTACAAATGAAAGATGCAAACCAGCTTGGAGTTTGTCCCTGCGAACAAGGACAATAGCGGGAAGGCAGGATGGGTTTGTGCCGAAGAGCCGTGACTGTGTCTGCAAGGGGATGCCTTCAGTTGCCCTTGAAGTCTAACATCAAGAGCAGTCACTTTGTGTCCAGTCTCCCAAATCCTGCTGCACATCAAGGACAGCCTGGCAACGGGTCATGTAAGTTCACTTTGACTCTTACTTCTCCCTGGCTGTAAATTGCTTCTCTTCAAAGGCTGTGATGAAGAAAAGATGAAATAAATGCAAAATAATTGAAAATAACAAATCCTTAGGAAAAGAAAAATATTGTATGGGCTATTGTTTCAAGACATGAAACAAGTGGTACATATTTAGAAAGCACAAAACCCGATGTGTGAGAGAGGTCTTGGCCATCGCTATTTGCTCAACAGACTTTCGAATGAGAGAATTTCTCTTCAGAAACTTTTATTTTAACCTAGGCCCCTAGTAGACTTGTTTTTTCTCTGTTCCAAGAGTTGCCTTGTTCCAGGGCATATGCTGGTTTGCATGCCAGTGAT